AAAAAAACTAAAATAGCAGAACTAAACGCAAATCTTGAGTTCTGTAAAAGCTGCCACTTGCAAAAAAAAACCACTTACTTTACATGCCTTAATAAAGCAGAAATCATTCAAGACAAGCTTAAGACACTGAGGCCATCAAGAATGACTTCACATTACTCGATTTCCTGACTACAATATGTAGATTCTAATTAAGTCATGAAGCACAAGTTATTCAGTTTACTGCAATGTCACAGCAACCCCTGTATTAGCCTAAACTATAGTAAACTATCAGCATGAACAACTTTATTGTTATTGCTATGTCTGCACATGCATTCGAATTTCTTCTGGCTTTAGTGACCATATTAAGAATTTGATGTCGGATAAAACTTGGTAGAGCCCTACCAGTGAATTTTATCAGATGAGCAGTCAGACTCCTAGATATAAAATTGAAAAAGCATAAACTTATGTTTTTTGTAGGTAGAAATTGGTGTAAAGAGATTACCACACGTGGGCAGTGAATGGGCAGTACCTAATTCTAAAATGCCAATGTCCATATTCTTCTACCCCCTCCCCCCCCCCCAAAAAACCACACATGCTATCTTGGACTCTGATTAATGTTTTTCTTCCTTTCATTAAATTGGATCATTTCATACAGTCAATCCTATGTTTTAAGAAAAACTGTTAGGCCTGAAGCTTAAATTTCAGCAAATCTAACCCAGAAAGACGGTTATAAGTAATCACTGCAACAATCACTTTAGCATTATGCTAGTACATACTAAGCAGAAAGCCTAGCCCAGTTTTTGTTGCACAAAAGTTGAGGGGAAGAAGGCATAAATTGTATGAAGTTTAGAATTTTAGTTTTGAGGTGAAACAGATATGAGTTACAATTAAACTGACAGGGTGCTTTTAGCTTGCGGGTCAAGCCTTACCTTGTATTAGGTCTTGTGTTACATCTTTACTTAAGATTGGTCTCATTCTAGAGGCCATTTTCTAACCCGCCCTTTCCTGTGAGGAATTTCACATAGGGTTTTCACCCTCTACTACCCATTTACACCAAGTGAGACACAAGAAGATCAACTTAGATTCAAGCCTCTTCACTACTAAATTTTGAAGACTGCTTAAATAAATAAAAACCAGCAAAGTCAAACACTGGTCTCCTACTCTTAAGATAATAGTTTGCATTTAATAGTACATACACGTGATTGTGTACAATGGTGAAATTTAAGTATGTGTAATTCAGCTCTTAAAGCCACATTTAGGCACCTAAACAAATTATTTTTATTTTCAACAGTGCCAAGCATCCAGAAGCTGCCATTGATGTTAATGGGATCTGCAGACTAGTACTTTTGGAAGTTAAGTCAAGTCACTTGTCTTAGGCCAAGATATTCAAAAAGAGTGTCTATTAATTTAAAATTACAGCATATTTTACCACATTACCTGTTTTAAACTTTGTTTATTAACTAGTAATCTGGCCAAATAATCATCTTCATTTTATACAAATCTTAAATTCAGTCAAGGCTTTTAGAAGTCTCTTGGACTTTGCATGCCAAGTCATCTACAGGTGATAAACCCTAACACAGAAGAGTACACATCTTGCAATAACATTTAAGATCAGAGGCAGCTCTCCTGTTCATTCTGGTCACTTTCTAATCTGAGTCTACTACACTCTCATAAACGAAGTTCTTATTTTACTAAAACCCCTCCTTGATTTCCTTCCACTGACCTCAGCATACCAGCCCACCCTCTTTCCATTCACCACTTGCATGCATATTTTGGGGGAGGGGGAAGACCACAGATGTCTGGAAGATACAGGGTATCAGAACAAGAGTCCTTCCAACAACAACAACAGAATTGGTCCACAGACTACCTCCCCTCCGAAGGATCAGCTCTGGAGGCTAACCCCCCACAACACACTGCATATTCTGAAGTGGCCCAGTGCAAAGCCAGCAAGTTTTCCTCCCCCGGTAGGAGAGCCCCAAGTCGCCTGGCTCGTTCTTTAACGAGACTCCAGCTACTTGGGGTGTTTTAAACTCGCTTTAAAAACACCCAGCTCCGGAGCAGCTTGAACTCAAGACACCCAGCAGCAGCATGGATACGAACAGGAGCCTCTCCTGCAAATACACATGCAGCTGAGACAAAAGCCCACAATGCAACAGATAACAGCCCCTGCAGTCAAGCAGCAGATTAGTTATTGGATAATTACATAGTACAAACAAACCCGAACCCGCTTCCCTTCCCCCCACCCTCCTGCTATCGGAGCCGTGCTGGAAAGCCCGCCAGCGCCTCCCCAAATCGGCCCCACGCTGCTCCAAGCCCGGCTGCAGCCCACAGGCTCTGCTGCGAGCCTCCCACCCTAGAGCCGGGGTGCAGAAAACTCGCCTCGCCCCGCCACAGGCAGGGGCCCCTCCAGCCTCCCGAGGGGCACCTCGGAGCCGCAGCTGCCGCCTCCAGCCTCCCCAGCCACGCAACTGTCCGGACCGCCCAAGTCAAGCGTCCCCGCGTCCGAGCAGCTCCCCACCCAGGAACCCCCCTCCCGTCCCAGGGCCGGGCCCAGCGGGGACCTCCCGTCGCCTCCCCGGGCAGAGCCCTCCTCCGCCCTCCCAGCCCCAAACCTCCGCCACCGGCCGCCGCATTCCCTGGAGAGACCCCCCCGGCTCCCGCCCCCGGGACCAGCGCCCCCGCCGGGCTGGGAGCAAACCAAGCGCCGCCGGCGGAAGGGAGAACGCGGGGAATTAGCAGAAAGCGCCACTGACACTGCGGGGAGGCAAGAGCGCAAGGTTCCCCCAGCCCCGGTCTCCGGCCGCCGCCTGGCTCCGGCTCTGTCCGTCCGCGCCGGACGCTCCCCTGCCGCCGCGCTGCCGCCGAACCGAGCGAGAGGCTTAAAATGGCGTCGCTCGCAAGGAGGTTCTTATAGGGAGCGCAAGACTCGGCTGTATCCTGCCGCCGCTGCCGGGCTCGGCGCGCAGCATTCCACAGGCACCCAGCGCCAGGGCAGGGGGAGGAGAAATAGTGCCTGGCTCCCAGGGCGGAGGGAGACAAAGGGCAGCTGTGCGCCGCCCGCGCTGGGTAGCTCGCCCCTGCGGAGGGCGCTGGGGGAGGCGAATGGAGTTGCAGGGCAGAGGGGGTGGGGGGGAGTCTGGGAACACAGCGGGGGGGGCGGGGGCGCTGTGGCGAACAAGGCAGGATGGGAGCAGTGATCCAGCAGAGAGGGAGGTGTGATGAGGCCAGGATGGGGAGGGGGTGGCGGAGACACCTTATTCTGGAAATTGGGAGAGAGAGACTGGTTCCTTCCTGCCTGGGAGAGAAGTTGCTGCCGGGGGGGAGCAGCAGTGTGGTGTTGTTCTTAAAGGGGTAGTAACTACTTGGCAAGCGATCGGCCTCTGAGTCCCCTCACTCCCCCCATAACAAATTAGGATTTGCGAGCTGGGGTGGGGGTTTTTTACATGCAACTAGCTACAGAAACTGGTGTCGTGTTTCCCAAATGCTTGTTGTGGAGCCCAGTGCCAATAATAATCCCTCCGCTCCTTTGCGTTTCCGGCAGCACTGAAAACTTTCTGATTTACAACAGAAAACAATAATAGTTTCTGAGATCGGCTTGCAAAAAACCCGGCGATGCCTCCTCGCCGCACACACTTTGCCTTGCTGGATGCACGGTGCCCTGCTTTCCTGTCCGCCACTCCTTTAAACAATTAGTGGCAGTGAGTCTGGGGAAGGTGGTTATGAGACTCATTCACGTAGGCGGAAACGCGTTCTGCAATTCCTTTATAAATATTTGTCAGGAAGCAGTTGCCAAAGAAAGTATCTAGTTATGCAATGGTTTTTTGGGAGAAAACTCGGCTTTTTCGCCTTCTGAAGGAGTTTTAAAAACAGGAAAATATTATGAATTACACAAGCTTCTCCACTGCATGCACGATCTTGCACATGTATTTCAGCCTCTGCATGCACGATCGTGTATCGTAAACTGTTTTACACACTTTTGCATGTACTATCTTGCACTGGCAAAATATGCTTAACATCTTTAAAAAAACTATATGAGACATACACCAGTGCAAGTTCACGGTTACAAATAAAGAGTTTATGTTAAAAACAACAACACCGTACTTGGCTAGAACAAGACGTGATTTTTTTTAATCCATGGTTTTGCATTAGCAAAGTGTATGTTTCACCTATGTGGGCTGTTGTATTTGTTTTTGTATATACCAACGGTGTTGCATTGGGGTGTTTCATATAGGATTGGGATTTTTTTCATCATAATGCACTAGCAAGAACTCTGTTATAGGGCCTCTTTTTTTGTATCTTGAACTGCATATAATTCCCATAGGCTCTTTCTGCTCCTACCTGATCGTGTACCAGCAAAGAATATTTTTACAGATAAGCGGCTCTTTCTTTGTATGCGAAATCTTGCACTAGCGGGATGTTTTAAATAGGCAGCTGATTTTGCCACTGGCGAGACTTATTGTGCGATCTCTCCGAACGCGCGATTTTGCACCGACAAAGTATATTTCAGGCAAACAAAACTGCCTAATATATGGACTTTGTTTGCAGTGTCGCCTCGAGGAGCGCTCAGACCGTGCATACTTGTTGGAGTCGGAAGGGAAGATGCTTTAAAGTCTTCTCCATAGGAAGGAACGAAAGTGGATCGCCCACTGCTCCCGCTCTCGCGTTTCCTGTGCCAGGGCGTCCGGGTCATTAGGGGCGCGTTGTATTGACTCCGCTCGGCCCCGTGTTTTCCTTGGGTCCCGTCGCAGCCGCCCAGGCTCCGCCTCACTCATCCCAAGGGGTGGGGTTCGGGGCTGGAATGGCGAGCGGCGCTTGGGTGCCAGGAGGCCACGTGGGGGAGCGAAGGTGCCTCCTTTCTCCTCGACTTCCCTTTTTTCATCCCACTCCTCGCACGCTTTTGCCCGGGCAGGTAACGCCGGGCACCCGCAGGATAGAGCCGGGGTAGGACGGGAGCAGAGGCTTTCTCAATTGGGGGAGACTTAAGTTACTATTATAAGTTAATGAGCTTTCAAGGTATTGGCTCTTTAACGGCCTCTGTTTTTACTTTCCGTTTGAGGGCATGCAACAAACTTCAGCCTGGTCCTCACAGCCATTGCCCTGTTGGGGCCATTCTCCCACAAGCTGTCCAAGCTCCAAAACACAACCCCTAGCCTCTATGTGCTGTGTGCATAATCCTGCAGTTAGGGGCTTTATGCCTCCCATTTCAAGGAAGTACTGGGGACCCACTTTCATTAGCTAATATATAGCTCCTGATGCACAGCAAGCTGCTTTGAATACCCAGATTGAAAGACCCACCCCAATAACCTCATAAGAAACAAAATACAAGAATCAGGCACAATACTTTCTTCTTGGATCATAACCTGAAGGTTTGAGACTCAGACTCTGGCCGACTTCCAGCAGGAGGAAGCCTTTATTGTTCAATAAAACTATTCTGCTGTAGGCAGAAAGGTGTCACCATTAGTGGCATTGCAATTTGCATCAGGCCTTTTCATTCTGCTTTATGATAGCTCTCCAACACAGCGTGGTTTTGGGGGGTTAGGTTGGAGGCTAGCAGCAAAAGAGTTGGGTTCTTTGTGAAACTCCTTTTTCCCCCAACTGCTTTGCTGCATAACCTTGGGCAAAGTCTGTATCGATCATGTATACCTTGGCTTCACCCTCTGTAAAATGGGGATAATATTACTGACTGACCCATCTTTTAGATTCTTAGATGAAAGGTGCTATTTCAGTGGAAAGTGTTGTTATTGGCAAATTCACTATAAGCAATTCCTTTGGGTCCTTGATAACAACAGTAGAATCAGTCAAATGCCCTTGATGCACTGCATGGTCCCAGATACCTTTCAGAGTTTCTTTGTGTGCTGTCCTACCCCCTGAGGTCTGAGGGGACGGGGCTGCTGGAGCCTGGATTTTCCAGGAAGGGTAGTGTGTTTGCTTCTGGCCTCAAGGCTGTAAACTGCTCTTCTTTTTGACATGAGGTGGACCATTGGAATGATCCTCTTTTAAAGGAGGTTTAAAAACTTTTTAAAATTATAAATTTCAGAAGGCCTTCAGCAGATTGTGTTGCCTTATAGTGAGTTGAAGAGGAGTTATAATATTGTATATTTTTAGTAATTTAATCTGTACTTGATTTATTGCAGAGTTGTTATGTTTTGTATCTAGGCAGTAGGCAATTAACATTTTAATTTGGTTTGGTTTTGCAGTATTTAGTTAGTGAGCAGTTAACTATTTACTAGATACTTTCTGTTTTGTGGAGCTAGCTGAGAAGAGCAGCTATATGTAAGTCTTACAATTGCAATTTACTTTAACTTGTAATATCACTTTGTTTTATAACAAATGTTTCTAAAATACGATGTAAAACAGATACTGTACAGTATAGCAAAAGGGAAACATTTTGTCTTGGCTATTAGAATGCAGGGCTTCAGTTAATGAATTCACAATAAACAATGGAATATATACAATCAGTCTACTTATTGTCTCCCTAGCCCCCAAGCATTCATTATATATATATATATATATATAGCTTTAAAAGTTTCTTAAGAGCTGATTAGTACTTTAATAAATTTGTTTTGGTAACCGTTTGTTAGTTGACTATACTGCAGACTTCTTTAAAAAAATGTCAAACAGCCTTCTAGCAAAACCATTGTGTATTTCTGCAATGAGAAATCTCCGCTGCAAAGGAGAACTTCTTGGTTAAATTGTAAAAGATAATGATTCAGATCTCTCACCCTTTTTTTTACATCCTTGGCATTGTTTTTGCAGAGTCAACTTTTAACTCCACACCACAGTAGGAAGCAGCTAAACAGAAAAAAACGGGATAAAGGTAAATTTAGTTGGTCACCTTTCTTGCTAAGGTTATTGGAATATAGCTATGTCTTCTTAAAGCACATAGTAAAGAATAAGTAGCAATGGTACTAATACGTACTCAAAGCAGAATGAACAATTAAAAATATATTTAAATCACTGGGCCTGAATCTTTGATTTCCCATACAGATGTTAAAAAGCAATTGGCTTATAACCATGCACGTTTTAGGTGCAGATTACAGACTCAGTTACAATCTTGTTAAAATGCTAAGTGTTTATGTGTTCCGTTTAGCAACGCCACAATGCAGCATGTTGGACATTTAAAAAAAAAATCTTCCATTGAAATTAAAAGTGCGGCGTATAAAAACATATTTGCTCTTTTCGTGGAACACATGGCAGGGCAGAAAAAAATAAAGCAAATGCTTGTAGCATTCAAACATTCTACTTGAGACACAGGATTAAGTAATGTAATGCTTGCTGCATAGTTGGGAAATATCTTTTATTAATACAAGTCAAAAACTTTGCTGTAGTAAAACAAAGTGCTCTCTCAGCCAGACCCAACTTTGGTAAAATACTACTGTTAGCAGACACTTTAAACAAGAAAGAAAAATAAAGAATTAGCCACGTTTGAGCTCTTGGTTCGGTTTGCTTTTCTCGTAAAATAATGAGACAAAAAATGTTGCAGATATCATAGTTGTAGATCATCTTCTTGAAATGAAGGCAACCATAAAACATTAATAAATTAGAGTAAAAATGACAGGTCGAAACAGCTAGTTAGTTGGTTGAAATTACATAAAATAGAGCACTCTGTAAGTGTTGTTCCAAATATTAGAAATAGTTATTAGTGACCAGAAATAGTCATTAATGACCAATACACTTTGTTTCAACAAAAAAGACTATTCTTTCATTTTTATGTTTTTCTTCTAGAGACATGCAACATTTCTGTTATCCGCCTTAATTTGTTTGAAAGCCAACAGCAGTTTAACTTTATATTTCAGGTGTGTTTCAGAAACTGAAAAAGTCTTTAACTGATTTAGCAGCTGAGACATTCCTCATCACAATATCCGGCATATTAAGCAGTAGATACAGCAAAACTAAACAAACCAAAATGGAAATTTTGCCCTTGCCGAATACATATATTTTTACTACTTACCAAATTAATAAAGAGAATGCTTTACATTTATAATATTAATGGTAATTATTATAATTATGGCTAATTATGATCAAGGCCAACAGAAATCCACAAGTCTGTTCTCTTTTTGAATTTTGTCATATCTAGTTTCCCACAGAACCCAAGTTTTCATTTAAAAATGTATATAAATATATGTCTGACTCTTACTGATTATGTTACCTTGCCTTCCTAGTTTAAAGGAATGTGTGATTGCTGTGTTCAGCCAGCCTTGCAGAAAAACTAGCGCAAACAAACTAAAACAATAGACGCAAAGGTGCAATACCTACCTCCTCTCCCCCACTCCGCTCCATCTACAAGAAGCCATTTATTTTTCATATGGGTAACCCTTTAAATGTCAGTACTGTAGAAAGAAGAATGCTATATGTGATCAGAAAGAAAAACACTTTAAAAATTGAGTTGGTGTTTTTAAAAAAATGTTCAGTTTCAGTCCTGTTTTTTTAAGAGTGATTAGGACAGATTTTCCTATTCAGACTGACCTTTCCCAATTAATATGTAATCTGAAAATATTAGACATCAGGATAAGAGTTTCATTTAACAGACGTCCAAATAGGCTATTTTTAGACTAGGAGTTCAGATTTGCAGTACATCTCATAGCTCAGTTTAATCTTTTGATTTCTTTCCAGCTGCAAAGGCTAAGTAGTTGTAAATACCTCTTGTCAATCGAGAAAGTTGGCTACTCTCACACAAGCAAGTAACTAAGAATCCACTGGGCAAATTCAATGGGAGTTGCTCTGAAAACTTTCATTTGGGTCTGCAGTGTGGTAATAGTAGTTCATGGCAGGTCTGTAATTATACAAAAGAAATAAGTATATATCTTAGACCTTGATTCTGAATTTCTTTGCAGCATGAAATATGGTTATCACCATACTCTAGAAGTAAGTATTTATGGTCATCATTGAAAGAGTATGAGTAATGGAGACAACAACTAGATACTCAAATGACACAAAGCGCTTACAGTATGTTTTCCTTTCAGTGTTCTTTCAATGCAGAGTAAATATCATTCCAGCTCTTAGAAATCATCATTCTTTCCCCTTTTTAATTTCAAAATGGTTGCAGATTTTTCACTCACGAAAAGGTTAAAGGCGTTCCCCATCGCAAGAGGGATTATCTTACCGGAGGATTCTGGGACTGCAGATGTATACTGCGGCAAAATCCTAAATTCATCGGAAAAAAATCATCTCCAGACCCCAGCTGCTAAAAATAATAGAATTATAGTAAATCATTGATAAGATTAAAACATAAACCCATTTTTACATTCCAAAGTGTTTTAAAACATGAGTCTTTTCTCTTAATTCATTTCTTAAATAATGCAAATTTTAAAGTAGCTTTCCTATCCCGAGCACGCAGCGCCATGAAATCGATAATTTTTGATCTTTTGGTTAGTAGGCAACATGGTGAGCTATTGCAGTGACTGCAGGCAGCAGACATGTTCTTGTCAGCTAAAAATTTTCATATTGTTTTTGAGCCATTGAGATTTGTAGATGGGATATAGCCAGTTATACCTTCAGCTCGCCCTTTGCTGTAAGGACGTAAAACAGCACAGTTTTAGATATACATATAAATATAGATATATATTTTAAAAACAAGAAGCATTACTGGATTTTAAACAAAAAATTATGTTAAAAAGAGTGGCTGGTGTGATTATAATCACATCATGCAGGGTCCACGGTTTCCATTTAGTGAAATTTCGCAGAGGGCAAGTTCTTAAGAACATCCCTGCTGTGCAGAGTGAAAAGCATGAACAAACCAAAGACAGAATTCATCTGTGTTTATATTTTACAGACAATGAAAAACCTACTCTTTGTATGCCTTTTTTTCCACCTTATTATTTCATGAAAACTGCAGCATTTTCCCCACCCCCACCCGAACTCTCACCACCCAGCACTGCGGTGTGCGGTGTTTCTTTCTCTCTTTTTTCCCCCCCTCTTCTTCTTTTTTGCTTTCACAAATTCTGCACGCGCCATCTTTGTCTATTGTTACTCTTTTCTAATTTCAGTTACCCATTCTCTTTCAAATCAGTTAATAAATAGAACGCTAAATGCCTGATGGATGCCTGTGTGTTTAATTTTGGTCCCCATTTTGCTCTGAAAAATAATAATAAAAAACCCCACGCCCCACCCCAAGAATTTTCTAGTATTACCGTAACCTGTTGTGTATAGTGGTTATAAAAATATTATTAACATAATAGCAACAGCTGCAGCCTAAATAGAAGCTAGGAGATAATTAATGTGCTACAACAAATTAATTTGCTGCAGGTGCTTGTGCTCTGAACTGCGTAACCCAAACCATTTCAAGTCTGAATACAATTACTATTCTCCCCACATGCTAAAACAAAATGCAGAATGAAATATCTTGTTGTTATAGATATCTTGTGTGCGTGTTGTCAAAGACCATCCTCTCCCCTGAACATTTTAGCCATCAGTAGAGAAGTGGAACAGACAATTTAAAAACCCTAATAGAAATGTATATATATTTAAAGGCGCTCCTGTGATATGTCCAAGCTTGAAGATGTAATGTCTGCCTATATATTAAATTATACCATTCATCTCTAACCTTCTGTATTCCAGAGCTTTGTAGGTAAAGACATACTGAGGTATTGCATATGTATAATTGGGAAGGTGTGGGTTGTAAACATCTCAGTAGTAACTGATGCAAATTTGTATATTTTCCATTTACTTTATGGTAGAGAAAAGCAATTGTATTTGCTGTTCAGGTTATAGAATCTGCAGTGAATTAGATGAAGAATTTTACTCTCCTCTCTGATAAACAGTGTTAATGGGAGCCGGTTACTAGTTTACCTTTCAGAAATATGCCAAGTAACACACTGCAGCACGCTAAGACTACAAGGACTGGAGGCTGAGTGAAGCTAAACTGCCCAGAAGCAACTGTCCATTTTCATTCTTGCACCACAGTTCAACGATTAACTTTGGGCATGTAAAAAGAACATACAGACGTAATTGCCGGAAACATTGTGAAGAAGCTGAACTGAGGCTGAAGTTTAGAACTAAATTGCGCTGATTTTTCTTCATTAACATTCTACTAATGGCATCTTAGAGAGGTGCCACCAGTACTCCTCGTTCTTTTTGCTGATACAGACTAACACGGCTACCACTCTGAAACCATTCTACTAATGGAAATTAGTTTTCTGTCTTCATTACGGCAATGTACACCACACTCTTTTGAAAATGTAATTAAAGCAAAGAGTTGTATATTGTGTATTTTAATAGACTGCTCATTCGCTGAGTAAACTTAAAAAAATTATTCCGTAATCTAACAAAAGTAATAGTGTGTGTATCCTAACAGAACTATAAAACTAATTTCTTGGAGATTGCATAGATTATATCTATATTTTTGTTCAACTTACCAGTGAGTACTTGGAGGGAACCTTGATGCTGAAACACCACTTGCACTGCACGCTGGCTGTGAGGTTTGATGCATAAAAGATATTCTTAAAAGGCTTGATGAGCTGTTCTTACTCACATTGGTAAATGCTTACTGACATGAGTAGTCCTACTGAAGTCAATTGGATTACTCGTGAACAAGAGTAAGGGTTGCATAAATAGGGCCTAAACTAGAGTTTGTATGCCTAGAAGATCTCATACCTTAATGAGAAATACCTACAGCCATCAGTTATTCAAAGATCTATGTACTCCACCAGGGAAATTTTCTTGGTTTATATGAAAGCTTTGGTGTCAGAATCTATTTTATTTCTGCTGATTCTTCTCATCCACTTTAAGGGCCTGATTCTTAAGTCCTTACATATGCCAAGCTTCTGTTGATGTCAATAGTTATTTTGCTAGGGTAACAACTGCAAGCTCAGTCCCTGTATTTTAGATATTCCAGTAATGTCCATAACAGTTTATTATAATATTCCACCCCAAAAAAGAATTATCCTGTTTATTAAAATGTACCACTGATTTGCATATGTAGCTCCATAAAACAAAAAACAAGATACTTTTTCTCAAACCTCAGCACAAAATGTATATTTCTATATTCCAAGTCCAAAATTTTTCTTCTCCCACAGTAAGCTTGGTACTATAACATGGGCAATGTTAGGCTTCATCCTTGGAGCACCACCAAAAAAACCCCCGTCTGATTTGGAAGTAATTCAGGATCAAGCTCTTAGACAGAAAAATAAGTCTTGTTCCAAATAGGGGGCCATGTTTTGCTTTCAGTTGATTTCAGTAGGACTTCTGATTAAAAACTGACAGTACAGTACAATATAACTGAAGGAATAAAAGATAACTACATTATTCAAGACTAGGAATTATACTATCATTATTCTAGAGCAGAAATAGTTACCAATTTGTAACTTTGTTTTCTATCTAAAGTACTTAGATAGAAAACATAGTATCTGAGCACCTCTCAATATATAAATTATCACCACAACATCCTAGGAAGTAGTAGTATTCCAAATGTACAGATAGGGAACTGAGGGAGACTAAAGGCCAGGTTTTCAAAGGTATTTAGGTGTCAAAAGATGCAGATAGGCCCCTGCTGGGATTTTCTAAAGGGCCTAGCTGCCTAACTCCCATTGAAGGGAGCAAGATGCTTTTGAAAAATCCCACTAGGTGCCTATGTGCATCTTTCGGCATCTAAATACCTTTGAAAACTCTGTCCCCAAATCACTTGCTCAGTCACAGAAGAAGAGGGGGGCATAGCAGGGCATTGAACCCAAGTCTTTTGAGTCTTAGGCTAGATCCAAATAAATAGATCATCCTTTCTCCCTATTCCTAGTCACTATAAAGAAAAATATAGTATGTGTTGGTGGCAACTGCCATACATATAGTGAGTATTTATTTGAGGGGAAAGGGGTGTTGTGTACAGTTTCTTTATTTCAAGAGAAGGTATATTTATAGGAGTTTTTTTCCACTAATTTCAAGAAAAAATAGTAGTAGATATGTTTTCCAGCCCTCTTATTAATGTTCCCTCCTCCCGCTCCCCCCCCGAAAAAAACCCCAAGAACAAAATAAAAGGGAAGGGGAGATTTGATAGCTATATGTGAAGAAGAGAAAATGGATGGATGCAAGATGATATGATAGTCATACGTTGTATTGCTGTGTGTATGTATGTAACTAAACTATCTTTTCATGGGTAAATCAGGGGTTCTCAAACTTCATTGCACTGTGACCCCCTATTGACAACAAAGTTACTACATGACCCTGGGAGGGGGGCGGAGCCCAAACCCGGCCACCCTGGGTGGTGGGGAGAGGGGACTGCAGCCCAAGCCCTCCCGTCCCAGGTGTGGTGGAGAGGGGGGCCACAGCCTGAGCCCTAGGTAGGGCTGGAGCTAGAGCGTTAGTCCTGGGTCCCAGCAAGTCTAATGCTGGCCCTGGCAACCCCATTAAAATCAGGTTGTGACCCACTTGGGGGTCCCGACCCACAGTTTGAGAACCGCTGGACTAGAGTGACTAAAGATTCAATTTTATTATGACTGTTGACCCTGGGCCCAGTCCTGGCAGATCCTGAGCACCAGCTACAACAGGCCTTCCCCTAGAAAGTGAGGGAAATCAATGGGACTACTCACATACTTACAGTTAAGCACATATGTGAGTGCTTTGCTGGATCAGGCCTATGGTACCTGTACTTCTGCAAGAATAAAAAGCCTTTATTTGAATTTCATCCATCACAATTTATGTAAATCCCACCTACACAGAATACATTTCTGTGATTTCTCTCTTTAAAGGGGCACTGTCAAATGGAAATCTAGTCAACATTAACAAATGAGTTAAAAGCACTTTCATATGGTGCAGCTACTCTTGAGTCTCCTGCTAATTTTTATGGGGTTTACAGTTGCATTTTTTTTTTGTTTTAAAAAAATGTTTTGTCTCTACACCGGCGCTCACCTGTAGTCTTTAGGGTTGCCAACCCTCCAGGGTTGTCCTGGAGTCACCGAGAATTAAAGATTAAGTCATGTGATGAAACCTCCAGGAATACATCCAACCAAAATTGGCAACCCTATCTAGTCTCCATCCCCACAACTCCCTGGGAAGTCTGGTTCCACAGATCCATGCCAAAAGATATACCCACCTGACCTCAGCAGCCTTGAATGCACTTTTCCAGGTAAACTCCACAGGGCTCAAGGGGTGACAATATGCACCCTGCACACCCTCCTCAACCTACTCAGTTACCTCCCTCTCCTTCAATACAGACTGTGCTGAGAGGGCTCTGTCAGGTCTAGAGGTGTGGGGGCTGTGACGTTCCCCTCTGGTGTTACCTGGACCAGTGATCTGCTAGGTCACTCCAATCCCTGACTCTGGGAGACAGCCTTACCTGCTCTGCTGTGAGAACCCCCACTCCTGGGCTGTTCACGCACAGCCTCTGGCATGTAAATTGCCCCTTGGATTGTGCAACTGAATGACACTAGCCAATATCTCCAGTCCCAGACACAACCCTAGGAACCTCCGTCTTGCAGTGTCCAGTTATGCCCGCTGGATGCTGCAATTGATATGTACCAGGCTTGTTATCCCAAGGGGAGTCTCTGACACACTTCAAACCAAACGTGTTGCTTCAGATACAATAAACAAACAGATTTATTAACTATAAAGATAGATTTAAGTGATTATAAGTCAAAGCATAACAAGTCAGATTTAGTCAAATGAAATAAAAGCAAAATGCATTCTAAGCTGATCTTAACACTTTCAGTGCCCTTACAAACTTAGATGCTTCTCACCAGAGGCTGGGTGGTTGCCCTTCAGCCAGGCTCTCCCTTTTGATCAGCGCTTCAGTTGCTTGGTGGTGATGTCTGTAGATGGAGGTGGAAGAGCATAGCAAACATCTCTCCCTTTTATCATGTCCTTTCCTCCCTCTTGGCTTTGCCCCCCTCCCCTTCAGAGTCAGGTGAGCATTACCTCATCACAGTCCCAAACTGACCAAAGGAAGGGGGGTGACTCACTCGAGAGTCCAACAGATCCTTTGCTGCTGCCTAGGCCAGTATCCTTTGTTCCTGTGAGGCTGGTCTGGGTTTGTCCCATACATGCCTTGATGAGGTGTGAACTGCCTCTCTGCTCTTAGAGGGTTTTTGCCTGGGTTTATTTTAATCTATGAGGATACATTTTCAACCTCATAACTATATATTTGAAATTATAACCTATAACATTACTATAACTAACAACAATGCTCAGAGCATCATGAGCCTTCCGAAGACACCCAATATGACAAACTTTTCATTGGATACCACACAATCATTTTATAAGGATGAACATGGGGGTGTAGGGTGTTCCCAAGAGGTACAGAACATCACAGGGGCATTGCCGCAGAAGTGGGTGCCCTCCCTTGCCTACAAAAGAGGGGATAATGGGCAGGGAGGACCCCTCCACACATGGATCAGGCAGGGGATAATTTGGCCCCTGGTAATGGCTAACAATTTCTGTCAGCGACAAAGCTGAATCTGGTGGGGGACTTGGATTCAAGATTTCTGAGTTCTACTCTCACCTCTTCTGCTGACTCGGTGTGTGACCCTGGACAGGTCAACCTCTCTGTGCCTCACATCACCCACCTCCACGAACATTGTGAGGCTTAAGTAACTAATATTTGTAAAGGGTTTTAATGTCCTCCAATTAAAGGTGCTATAGAAGTGCTCTTGTCAGCACTGAATTTTGAGACTGTAGCCTGTAGGCTGATTCACCTCAGTGTTCATCTCAGTTTTGCTAAGCGGACAAATATTTATTTTTGCACAGGACTCCTCTGCATTGGGGGTGTCAGAGGGCAAGCCTCCTCGCTTAGGAGCCCTGGATGGCAGCCATTTCCTTCTACAAGCTACTTCCTTAATCCCTCCCAGCTTTGCTGCTTTTGCCACTGCCTGACCACCATCCATCACCCCCCCCCCACCCCTCCAGCCCCAGTTCTGATTTAGGAGCCGCACAGCTTATCAAATGATTTTTGTAATCAATTAACATTGCTGCATAATGGTGCAGAATTTAGTACAGCTCTGCTACATGAATTATGCAGTGAGGCCTCCCAATTTAAGTCTGATGTGGCACACAGTACAAGGGGCCTTGAATGTGACTGAGCTCATGCTACAGAAGGAAGAGGGAGCTAATTAGGAGGTCTGGCAGGGGTAGGGATCCTCAGTGCAAATACGGAAAATCCTAATAGTAGAAGGGGGGAGTCAGCTGCCAACATACTCTCCTTTGAAGATCTCAGAAACCTGATCCTTTTCCCAGCTGCAAGCAGCCCTCTTCCCATAACATCCTGCCCCTACAGAGGGAG